TTATGCTTGTCTAGTTAGGTTGTTTTCTCTTCTTCTTGACCCTTGATGTCTTTTTTAGGATAGAGTTAGACCTATAACATGTTAAGGGAAGTAGCTTTGAAGTGTTTTGATGTGTGCCATTGACATGCTCTACTGTTTGGATAACCATTTCTTGTTCGCTTGTTTAAGTAGGGAATTGTTAGGTATCTTGTTTAAGTGCTTAGTGTGTGAGTAAGTGTTTATTTCTCATATGATATTTGTCTGCTCTCATATCTTGTTCAAGTATGTGATTTCTTTTCTCCTCTTCTTCTTTACTTCTATTCTTGTGAGATCACATGCTTCCCATAGGATTCCTTTGGTTCTTTCTTATTCAAGATTAAACTAAAGTAGATCCTAGGATTGATATCCATGCATGACAACATTAGTTAGTTCTTTTAATACTCACACATAGGTCCATCTCTCATTCTAACATTAGGTAGCTTTTACTTTGTCATCCTAACTTTAGGACCATTATACATGACAAAATTATGACTCTAGTCCCCCTTTGTTTTTTCTTCCTTTGCATCCATCTAAAACAAACAACTCCCTCTTAATCAAAATCTCAAAAACACTTAACAAATAAAGCGGCGAACCATAGGTCACGAGCCTTAAGAATTGGGAGAAGTATGAGGCAATACATTCTTAACCTTGTGCTTCCTTTCAATCATAGTCTTTAATGTGGTTTAAATCTCAAACTCTTTTTATAAATAAGTGGAGAAATAATTGGTGCCCCTACATTAAGAATCATTTGCTACTATCCCAACAAAAACATTCCACCAACCTAAACCTTTTTGTCTTCGGGCCTTTTTCTTTGAAAATCTTTTCAGGTAAGAACATGTTAATTCATTTCTATAACAAATGCACGAGTCTCCAAAGATTGAGTTGTAGTAGAATGCGAAATTAGGGTTGTTCTTAAAAAACACAAAAAAAACTAATTTTTTTTTAGAAGAAATACGATGCTCTGATTTTCCTATTGTACGATGGAGGTACGTAGGCACTAGGTCTCACGACCAAAGGCGAGCACAATAATAATTTTTCTTTTCTTTTTTGTGTATATACTTTGCATTCATGCATTTTCCCTTAGCTTGTAAGCTTTAGATTTAAACACATCCTTTGATTAGAACAACAAGAGTGAATCCTGTTGAGTACAACTGACGTGAGGGATGCTAATACCTTTATCTTGCGTAATCGACTCTCGTACCCTTCTCTTGGTCGCAAGACCTTGATGATTTTCTTTCTCAGGTTTTATTCGATATTTTTCTCTTCCTTCTTTAAGATAAATAAATATTCGATAACGACTTTATTGTTTATTTTTCTAGTTGCTTCACAGATATGCGGATTCAGCTTGTATTACATGTACAACCTTGATTGTTTCAAGTTCATTTTTAATAAACTGTATCGTGTGCGTTGTCAGAAACTAAGTATATTACCAAGGTCAGGAGGGTCAATCTGCTGATAGAGTTATTTTTCATACCATGAATTTTTCATACCATGAATGTTTCAAATTGAAATGAAAGAATTTGAATGAGCAAGATTGCACTCTCTCGATGATGGAAAATTGTTGTATGGTTAATGGAAATGAACCAAGTGATAATGGACACTTTGTTCAACTTGAACTGCTTTCTTTCTCTTGTAAAATTCTATTAATAATATTTTAAAATTTTATTAGTTTATTTTAAACAAATATTTAATTATCAACAATTATCATATTCTTATAAATTGTTTTTTTCGAAATTATTTTTAAAATTAAACCTAATTACTAATTAATTTTGATTAGAATTAATTATTAAAAAAAGATTAATTAATTTTGATTAAAAATAATTACGAAAATTTGAATAAAAGAGATAGATATAGATTTTAGCTTGAGATTTACTATGGAAATTTAGCGGCGATATTATAGCTGTATTGATGGGGAAATATAGTTGAAGGCTCATATTATATTGTTTGCGTTTTGCTAGGAAAGTTTGACCCAGATAACTAGCCATTCGATCTATGCTACGCCACTTATGTTAGCTAATTCACAATAAATCTCCAACTAACTCTGTTTGATAGAGATTAACATTAACTATTATTTTTATCGTAGCAAATAACTGAATTTCTTGTAGTGGTAGTGTAGTTTATTTTAATATGAGAGATTTTGAATTAAAAAAAATAGTTTTGAAAAGAAAAATGGTTTTGGCGCATTAAAAAATGCACGCTTCTATTTAGCTTTACGATTATGATTGATGAATGATTACATATATCATATAGCTCACGTGTGTTATTTGTTGTTGCTTTTTTGGAAAGAACCCAATCAATCCCATGCCTACTTTTTAGATAGGTGTTGTGTGCCTGTGGTTAGTTATTCAGGGATTATGTCGTGTGGTTTTCAATCAAGATATTGTGGGCAATGGTCACTATCCAACTTCCTATTGATTGACTTTATAAATAGAAAAATAATAATTATTTATATATTGAAAAGTGATAATAATATTTATTTTAAAATAAATTTTATTTATTAAAATGATATTTATTTTAAAACAGAAGGAGTATCAAATATTACTATTATTTTCTTTGATTTATATTTTGTCACATGGTGATATTAACTGTATTCATAAAAACTTCTTTTACATAGAATGTCAGATTCAGAATGATTCTCCTATTTACTAACTAGTATAGAGTCGTTAACCTGTCATAGGCACACCTCCAAACAAAAATCTTTACTTTTGAAGGGATCCACGCCTTCCATATAACACTCAATGCTTTCTTGGACCTATCATCTACCACACCTTCAACCGAAACCTGTAACATTGCTGTATAACACCCAATCCTTTCTTACATGTAAGAATTATTTTTGAAAAAATGATATCACATCAACATAACCTTTAACACAACACATCACATTTTTTAACATTACAAAATCTAATGTGCTTTTGCTTCTTTTTGTTTTAGATTTAACTTGATTTATGTGATTGAAGAATAATGGATATGATTCGTGTTATATATGGATATAATAAGTATATTACACGCGCATGATTGTAAACAGTCATTCTCATATATATCCTTTATATATGAACAATTTTTTAAAAATAAAATACATGATTTTGGGTTGGCCTTCACTTATTTCTTAATTACCCCTCAAGTTCTATTAAAATAACTGTAATTTTTAATGAAATTTTTTAACAAAAAAAAACTTTAAATGCAACAAAACACTGTTTTATAAAACAAAATACTGCAGTTTGTGGCAGTTTATTTCTTTCTCTTAAATATTTAAAACTCAGTTTGTGTGTCATTGTCCAAAGTGCAAAAAAATTTGGCAGATTTTATCTTTCTTCTCTCCTTCTTTATATGTATGATTCTTATTTTACATCTTCACATATTTTCTATAACTTGTGTAACAATTAGGTATAATAGTTATATATAATAGTTATGAGGTTAAAAGTAGTGCAGTGTAAAATATCAGTATGACTTGACAGAATACATGGTTGTAATTAGTTGATAATATAAAAATATTTTACACGGTCCGTGCATATAATTTTTTCTCAGTAATTATTATCTTTTTTATGTTAATGTAATCATGCTTTATTTCAAAATCAACCATAATCTTAACTATTATATATGTAATTATTATTCATTCTCCTAATTTCTCTCTAATTTTTTTGTTCACATGCTCTAACAATATGATTTGATTAATATGAAAATCATGAAATATTAATTAACTTCCATGATGATATGCTTTGATTGAAATCATGAAATATTAATTATCTTCCATATTAGAAAGCTTTGTTTTTTTGTTAATATTCTATATGATTATAGTTTTCTATCATTTAAAAGTGGTTAAGATTATATATTTTACTGACAAATTATTCTTAAATTTTGACTTTTCAAATTTATATTCATAAATATATTGGTGCAAACAACAGAGAAAGAGCATATAAAAAATATCTTTAATAATGTAAGAAATAGTTTGGGTTTACTCAGAATTACAATATTGTATAGTATTTCAATCTAAATTACTTTATAATGTATTTTTATTTTTTATTCTTTTAATTGTTTTTAATATTACTTCTCTTATGAAGGCGAAATTGTGAGCACATTGAACCATTAAAGAAAGATATCACCAAGAAATAAGTACACATAAATGATGCAGCAAGAAGAAGAAATATCCTAAAGAAGGGATGACTTCATTCTTCCAATCATAAAGATATTTTATTCTCACTTTCTTTTTTATAAGTTGATGGGAAGAGTTTGAGTACTAATATCAATGAAACAATGCAGTAAAACACTATTTCATTTTGAAGGATTCCAATTCAACAAAAACATGTGAATGTGTCTCAATTTTAAAATAATTATTATGTCAAATAAGAATATTTATCTATAACTTGTGTATATATTATAAATCATCTCTCTCAATTGCAATTTCAACGTAATATAAAACTATTAATGTGTGTATTTTCAAGAGTTTCTCGAATTCCTAAAACACTAAAAAAATTTGAATTCCAAAAACAAAAAAAAAATCATTCGTTGTCTCTTTAAATTTTTCAATAAGATTCATAATTCTTTTCCATGTCTTCGACTTTAAATTCTAAAAATTGTGAAAATTAGAATTGTTAGTATTTTCAGGACAAATACAACTCTCTTAGTCTAGATTTGGACATTAGTCAAGTTGTCCCGTTGTAAAGTTTAATTTCCTTGGCTATTATGATGCCCGTAATTACATCTTTAACTTGTTCACATTTCTTCGCAAATGTTTTGACATGTATCGTCTTAGTCTATATTGAACAATGGAATGACTTAACTTTGATTTAGTAAAAATAAAACACAAAACAAGCAATTAAACATCGAAACACACGATCCACACATTACTCATTTATTGATATGCTTAAGCTACATCATGCTCATGCACACATATTTTGTTTATCAAACAAGCCTATAAGCTTGTCTAATAATTTATCAAACAAGCATATGAACTTTGCATTTATTCCATTACACAGTCCTCATGCCTAATTTGCAGTAGCAAAAGGGTTTGGGATATTTTTAAGAATTGGTCGTCCCATAAGCTTTTCAATCATGTTCTTCTTTTGACGAAACTGCTTTATTTTGTACAAAGTCTCAGCCAATTTCTCAAGAGCCTCAGCATTTGTACCTTGGTTTGTTTTTACCTCTGGCTCATAGGTATCCACATTCATCTTCAAAACTGGTTTTTTCAGAAGGCTCTCTCCTACCTTTTCAAGGTTTTTAATGTTAGCTATTGTAGCATTATCCAGGGCATCCATCGATGGATCCAACTTATATTCCTGCACATTAAAATCCATTAAAACCTTTTGTATTGACATATATACTATCAAGACTTCTCAAGTTTTTGGAGATCCTGTGTAAACTATACCTGAATTCTAAGGTAGTTGCGAGAAGAGCGGATGTTTGGGAGGACATTATCAAGGTAATATTCAGTTATATCTTTAGAAGAAATATCATAAGCACCAACAGCAAGACCAGATGTTGCCCAAAATGCAGCTGAGAAATGAGTTGCAACATCAGCATCAAAACCTGTAAGCTCTTTAGTTCCACATCCTATAGATAACAACAAGATTTTTGCACGCTTCTGTTTCATCACTTCACTCACAGCAGCCATAGCCTGCATATATATGAACAATAAGGACCACTTTGCTAAATCAGAGTATATAAGGACCAATTTGCAAATTTTATATGGACTAATTGCGAGAAAAATAAAATTACCGGATTAGATGCAGCCACACCTCCATCAACCAAATTGAATTCAGCACCATCATTTTCAAAGTAATATGGAGGTAGATAAGTTGGTGCAGCTGAAGTTCCAATGCATATATCTGACAACTTTGCATCTAAGCTTGAAACTGCCTTCAACTTCATATAAATATATAACCAAATATCAATGATTCATTAAAACAAAAACAAAAAAAAAGATTATAGTTAAGTACCTTAAAACTTGAGAATGTAACAGGATGAAACTTCTTGATGTCAAAAGTTGGAATAACAACATTGGTTAAAGTCTCACTGAGTCTTGTATCTTTCAATAATTCACTTGCTATTTTATGTAAGAACTTTCCATCATACTTTGTACCAGGGTATGTAGCATCCCAACCACTGTATATGTATAATGTTATAATATTGTTCAATCATATTTAAGACTCAATAATTTGATATTTTTTACTATAGGTAAAGACGTAAAGTGCATGTAATTATTATTAATCACTTTAATATATATTGGTCCCTGGATTATGGATTGGACCATCTTAAAATTGATTTCTGGCTAAAGCAAAGAAAAGTCCCCGTCTCATTTTTAAAGTGTATAGTATAGCTTGTCTGTTACCGCGGAAATGAATGCGCTGATACTTACTGATATCATTATTCACCGTTTTTATGATATAAAGTTCTTAGTCTTATAACTTGATGATATTGAGTTCGAATCCTCTTAGATAGAATTGTAAAAGGTTGATTATGTATATATTTCAATTATACCTAGTTTCGTTGAATATTGAAGGACCATATTGATAGTAGAAGTTGATAACTTGTTCAGCAGTGAATAGAGGACGAGTAGGGTCATCTCGGTGAGGAGCAGCGAGCATGGCAGTTACAAGTCCTCCAGTACTAGTCCCTGATATCACATCAAAATATTTTGCAAGTGATGCTTCTTTATCCTTAACCTGCATGCAAAAATTATATAAAACTCAAAAGCCATACAAGTTTAGAGGATCTATATATACATTAAAATGTTTCTATTAGAATATATAGTCAATGATTTTTTCTTCCAACAAGATAGTGATTGTAATTTTTAGGAAAAAGAAAGAAAAAGAGAATAGGAGCATGCAAAGAAAAAAATGATAGTATAAAATTGGTGTTATGAAGTTAGGATCATTTATATCCCATTATTTCATTCTGCTTATAATACTAATAATACATATGTATATTATTGACCTGAAGAGCCTTTTCCAAGTGGTTAAGAATTACTGCTGGAATAACTCCTCTAATACCACCACCATCAATACTCAGAATGGTGATAGTATTTTCATAGTTAGAATGTGGTAGCTCAGTGTTAAATCCAGCCATAAACCGACTAGCAAAAAAGAACACAAACAAAAGGAAGTTAACAGCCATATTATATTTGTTTCTAGACAACACAATTTCAAGGACTTGCATTTTATGTGACCAATGTGAAGGGTATTTATAGGCACAATGTCAAGGATGGAAATATAAAAAATATATTAAATTTTGGCCTCGTGTGCAATTAATATTACTTTCCATGAGTGACATTGTATGTATACTACTTTCTGAGTGAGATTGTATTTGGGTGAAATATCTTGTCTTTTTTTTTTGTTAATTTGTTAAAAAAAAATCTCTTTTGAGTTTGATTAATATGTAATTTTTTTTTAGAAGTAGATTAAGTTAAAATTTTTTATTGCAGTTGTATATGCAAATAATTTACATGTGATTTGAAGATAATTATAAAATAAAATTTTCAATCTTTCACATGTCAATCCCGACTTTTGGTGTATGATATGGGATTTTAATACCGTTTTCATGATAGATATTCTTTAAACAAAACTTCCATTGAGGAGTTTTTTAATTAAATAAATCAAAAAGAGATTATACATCTTGATATTAATGGTAACTATTACATTTGGACCAATGAAAAAACGGTGGTGCTTCTTATGTTAGACTTTACAAAACCTATTGTAATCAAAATTGAGTAGATAATGAAAACATAATTAATTTCTCCACTTTGATCAAGAATCAAATAAGATCATTATCTTATTCTTCTCCATTGTGATTAAGGTAGGTTTGATTGAGTTAGATCATTTAAATTTCTGATGTTTGAATTCTATAGATGATAGTTACAAATAACTGATTGTTGATAATTAGCATATTGGTGTGGTTGGTTGTCCTATGTTTGTTTTATCTACTAAGTTGAGATCTCTTAAACATATTCATAAGAAATGGAACAGAGAGACATTTAACAATATTCATCTTAAAGTCACTTACGCTACTGTTGAAGTTAATAGGATAAAAGTTTGATTGATGATTGTGATACGGTAGCAGAACCGACTGTTAATACTGGTTTGTATTTTTTGTTCGCAAATGTCGCGGTAAGAAAGAGTCGCCACCGACTTTTATTTTATCCAATCAGGAAAAGGAAAAAGAACAGAAAAAACCTTTTTCGAGATGTTTCTGTGTACGGGGGGGGGGGGGGGGGGGGGGTTGATTATAGAAAGAGAAAGTGTTAGCACCCTTTCTATCAGTGGTTTTCCACGGGCTCTTAGGTACTTGCTCATTTTGAAAACTGCTTGTGTGTGCTTGTTTTGAAAAGTTTTGTTTTACTTCATTTTAACCCTTGTTTCTGTCCTCAAGAGTGTTACGAAGTTGTTTTTGAAAAGTGTTTGGATGAATTTTTTTTTGTTTGTTTGAGCAAGTACCTAGGAACTAATCTACCTACTCAAAAAAAGTCTGTTCGTTTTCCTTTTAGACAATGCTATCCCATTATTGAAAAATAGGTAGCATCGTCGTTAGAGTTTTTTAGGGACATTCGAAGGGACAAATACGATCATAAAAGCAATGTTAGGAAATGCTAGTAATCATCCTAAAGCCTTAAAGATCTTTTTCCGAGGCAACATCCGAATGGATCATTTTAGATCTTTCGGGGCTAGAGGACCACCACTAACAAACCCTATACTTCATGACCGTTTACCGAAGGCAACCAGAGTGGAGTAAACCCTAGGAGTGAGCATGTGCGAGTGTAATTTTCAGTTAATTTATCTTTGCATATTTAGGGTTTTCTACTGTATTAATTTTCAGTTTGTCTTTCCAGAAAATCCTATTAACATACATCTAAGCAGTTTATAGTTTGCGGAAATAAAATGCGAGAAAGTTAAAAGTCCTAGCTATTACAAGGCTTTTGCATATACATAATTATTTTGACCAAAAATACAGATGCGGAATTTAAACCCTAATTACTATTACAAACTCGGAGCAGTTACAATAATAGAAAAATGAATTAAAAATACGCGCGGCGAATTAAATGCGAGAAATAAGTAGAAACTTAAAAAATCCAATTGTAAAAGTATTTAGGTTATTTTTTGAGAAAAGATTAAATTATATACAAATTAACCCTACTTCTAATTGATTTAAATTATGAAAAAAAAGGATTAAATTGCCCTAAATAATTAATCTAATTAATTAAGGAAATAAAATATTTTTTATGAAAAAAAATGACTTTTGTGTTTTTTGTGATTTTTTTATTTAATGATAAAAAATGATTTTTGTGTTATTTGTAAAAAGAAAATAATTAATCAAATAATTAAAATAAAGGAAATAAAATAAAAAAAGAAAAGAAATTGGGCCTGTATTATTGAGCAATTCAGGGGGTGTAGTACTGAATTTGTTGGGCCCATTCCTTGCTCAGCCCTGTCAACGTGCCTGATTCTGTGTTGGCCAAGCTTGGAGATGCACCATAGGGACGCATCATGAGGCGCTGGATTGGTGATGGTGATGATCCAATGGCTGGATGGTTGGAGTGCACGACAGACGCCTGACAACATAATATACAGAACCTGCAATTAAATATTGAGAAAATAACAAAATGCTGGGACCTGGGATCGAACCTAGGTCCTCCCCCTCAATATCACGCATGCCTTGCCATCTGGGCTCCAGTTCTTAGTTGTTATAATATTGAAACAAAAAGGACATAATGTAAACTAATCACAAGTTTCAGAAAACGCGCACTATTTCAAATGAACCAATATATGGCTGCCACGGGATTGTCTCTTTCCCCAGGACTGTCGTTTTTGACACCAACTCTTTACCTACGGTCAAATTCATTGTTGTATGCTATAGTGACGGTATTTGCCTGTAGCTATAAACCTGCGAATCTTTAAAACGAAATTCAAGCAATATAAATTCCATATAAGGGCATAAATCAAATGTATTTCCTCCCCTGAACATGAATAGGCCCTTAACTTGGCCCAATTTTTCCTCTAGCTAGGGTTCCCCAATTTGGAGCTCACGAACCCTAACTATGGCAAGTAACCATTCCTGCTTCAAAACTTAAATCCAGGCTATCAAAAAGATTCCCAGCATGATCATGAACATGTATATGCAAGCAAATTGGATTAAAAGTACGTAAAACCAAAGGAACAAGTTTGAGTTAAGAGGGTGCAAACCGTGAGGATTGTGTGACGATTCCTGGAGCTTTGAGGCATGCAATTGGTCCTATTAGCTCCAGGAGATATCCAGGAATGGATTTGTGACTTTGAATTGCTTTGAATCGTCCTCTAGAGTAGAAACCAATCCCCACCTTTTTGCCAAAATTTTGAGTTTTATTTGATGCCTTGCACAACATTAATCCTTGTTTTTTGCATTGAGTATGTTCAGTATATATAGTGTGATGAATTAGGGCAACAAAAACACTTTGTATCTTTGATAATCATGGAGATTTGATTTGATTTCTTTGCTATATGATATCTTTCCAAAACAAGTATAATCATGCCAATTTTCTCCAATTATCCCTTGATCTGATTTTATATAATTTGACCAGCTTGATTAGATTGTGATTCCTACAAAAAATCAGATCAAAATCAATCTTTTATATTTTTTGCAATTTATTTGATTTAATCTAACTTTTAAATAATAAAAAATCAAAATAAATAAATAAATAAAGCAAAAAATGCGTGGATGCTGATTTGGGTCGTGGACCATGTCTCTAACAAGATTCAATCATGAAAAACTAGGTCCATTTGACAAAAAATGCACTTTTGAGCACATTTGACTTTTGGCAATTTTTCAAAAATGGTCAACTTTGACAAGGAATATATCCTCCAACTTTAACCCTAGAAAGGTGTTCTTAGACTTTTTAGAAAGCTTAGGATGTACCCTAAACAACCCTTTTGGTTTCATCTCATTTGGGTCTTCCATGTTCATGTAAGAAGCTTTGACCTAAAAGGTGTTTTTGTTGACTTTCCAAAAGGACCTATAATGTAGAAATTCATATCTTTTAATGAGTGCATATTTTGAACTTGTGGGATGAAGATGAGTTGTAGGGAATTGCATACTATTAAAAATGAGCCTTGGATGGAAAATTTATGATAAAGTATGAAGAAGTTATGCCTGGTCAAAGTTTGGTTGACTTTTCTTGTGAAACCCTAATTTAACAACTTTTGGGTTTTGATGAATTTGGGGGAATTCCTTGAGGAATCATGATCAACCTTTGATCAAATGATGGATATCTCTTCAAAAGGTTGATGTTGACCAAAAATCTCGAAGTTTGACTATATGTGGGCCACAGTTGACTTTTGACCTAGTGTAGTTGATTTTCAGGCATCTGGGCAATTGACTGAGCAAAATTCTTGTGCAAGGCATGAAACTTGGCATGGATGATATTGAGTACATATTGGGACCATGGAAGGCATTTTGGACCTTTGGACTTCAACCATCTTGATGAGGAGTGAAACCCTAGTTTGAAGCTTGTTGCCTTAGGAGGAGGATTTGTCTGGTCAATCCTTAGGCATCCTTGAGCAATTGAGGACCTCTAGTGGCATGTCTTGAGTGAAATGAGAAGGAAAATTTTGGGGTACAACAATGATGCAGGTCATAATGATGATCTTAGATTAGAGGAAAAAATCACTACTACAAAATATACCTTTGGTAACACTAAATTAAACGGTCAGACAGTTAACAGTGATAATACCTCATTTTTGGACGTATTTTGTTTATATATATATATATATATATATATATATATATATATATATATATATATATATATATATATATATATATATATATATATATATATATATATATATAATACGTATCACCATAGTTGGTAATATTAACCGTTGTGAAAGACATTACATTTTATCACAAATTTTTAATACGACAAGATGAAATTGTTTACCCATATATAAATGAATTAAGTCTCGCTTCTTGATAGTATTGTCGTATCTCATAACAAAACCCTAACACACATTTTATCTCTTCTTTGTCCCTAGATTTCCTATTCTACAGTATAGTCGTCAATCTTGTTCTTCATACATAAATGCATTCTTCTTCTTTCTTATTCTTTCATTTTCGTATATGTTTCACATGATTTCCTTCTTGTTCGA